ATCAAGAGAGGTTGCTGGCAAGTTGACTGCCCACAAAAGTGGGGGACGGACAAGTTAGAAAGGGGCGCCAGAGGGGAAACATGACGGGGGGGGGGCCGATAGGATGAAAAGCAGATGTGCCTTTTTGCACCCTGGGTGGTGTCGAGCACCCCAGGGGCTCGAGGTGGCTGGGAGGAGGAGGAAGAGGAGGAGGAGGACGCGGAGAAGGAGCGCGACGACGATGAAAGGTGACTAGGCGAACAATGCTGCTGATGATGAGGAGGCTGGAGGACAAGGGGGAGTAGACAGGCGGGACGAGGAGGAGGAAGAGGATGACGAGGTGCCTAGGAGGAAGACGAGGAGTGAAAGTAAGGATTATGGTGTCCTGCTGATGCCCTCGAAGGTACATGGACATGACTCCGTCACGGTCGGGTGGGCTCATGGGTCCTCTCATGCTTGGACGCCAGTGCACGTGTATGCGGAAACTGCACCTTCTGATCACACACGGTAACTTCACAAGCAGGGAGGATGATAAGGATGAGGAGAGGCGATTGGGAGGAGGCAGAGGCGGAGGAGGAGGAGGAGAATGAGGAGGAGGAGGAGGAGGAGGAGGAGGAGGAGGAGGAGGAGGAGGGACTGTCAAGGAGAGTATATGGGTTGGGTGTCCAGCGCCGACCCGAGAAGTCCGCGCGTACCATTGACAGTTCATGTGCATGCTTTAGTTTCGTTGTTCTAGTCTGGCATCAGAGGTGATTCTAGGCGACCAGACCTTTTTGAGATCTTGGTTCTTCTCCGAGGATGCATCGAACGTCTGGGGCTTCTAGAATTGTAATAACATCTGGTGCTAAACCGTCTTGGGAGGCAGGTCTGGATCTCGAGGTCATCAGACCATCTGTTATTACTCTGAAGACCTGGCATTGCGCACAGTGTGCCCCCAGAATCAGTCAGTCCAAACTTGCCTCGACCGACCCCAAGAGTGAGTCAGGTTCGTGTCGTGCCGACTTCGGCGTTGGTGTCTGACACCGCGGGGATCGCTTTAACCTTGAACGATTGGCCGTTTCCGAAACGTCCAGATCGTTCCACATCGAACGATTCTGGGTCGCCCGCGGCGTTCAACGTTGAACGCCGCCGGCGGGGTCGCCGCCAGTCGACACGACACGAACCTGCCGCAGCTGGGGCCGCTGCCCTGGAGCGCTCGAGGCGCCGCCAGAGGCGGTGCGGGTGTGTTACAGTCGAGGCGTTGACCTAAGGAACCCTAAACAAGGAACGAGGCCCCTATTTTCCATAAGTTGAACTTCGATTTCGTATCGAAAACCAAAGGAAAATCCAAGGCAAGCTGCGAAACAATTAAGGAACACGGAGCCCCTCCCCAACGAGAAGGGTTCCTTCTTCAGGGCCCCGACTGTAGGGCAACAGACAATGACATGAACATAAAGCTCGGCGGTCCGCGCGGATTCCTCGGATCGGCGACGCTCCCACACCACGCTCCCGCACCAGAAATCGCTGGACGTCCCAGTGCTCCAGGGTAGGGTTGCCTGTGGAAGCTCTCTTGTGGTCGAGCTCCTGCTGTGCTGGGGAAACGAACGCTGACATAAACATAAAAACTCGGAGGTCAGCGCGGATTTCTTGGATCGGCGCTGGACCCTCTCCCTGGCGCGCGGAGCGCGCCAGGGACGGCGCCCGAGACGCCGCCAGGGGGCCCCAGTGGCGATCCGAGGAATCCGCGCCGACCTCCGAGTTCTTATGTTCATGTCCTTGTTCCCCAAGGCGTTGAGACGGTCCAGGCTTCCCTCAGGGCCGTCTCCGTGCAGCCCCAGAATCGGGGGCTCGCGAACATGGAGTAGCGATCCCTGGACTTGGCGTGCGGTCGCCAAATCCATGGGTCGGGGGAGGTGCCCTCCCCGAAGTGCGGCCGGCGCCGCCTCGCTCGGCGGCGGAAACCTTCGATTTCCCATGGAAACGGGACCCTTCGCTGATCCACGCCCCCGTGATCCATGGTCGCGATCGCCCGAGAAAGATTCGTCGAGACATTGTCCCTCGACTACTTCTGGACTGGTCTCGAATCTTCCCCCTGTAGAGGGACAGGCCCGCGTGTAATTACGTCTCCCCCCAGGGGACAGGCCGCCGAACGGCGACAGAGCTCCGCCGGCCGCCGGCCCCAGCGGCCGCGTTGGCCCGCGGCCCCCCCTGAGCCCCTGTCTGCGATCGCCCGACAGACAGGCCACCTGCACGGGCCACGGGCAGGCGGCCCCCGGGCAGGCCACGGCCACGGCCACGGCCACCTGCACTAGGCCCCGGGCAGGCGGCCCCCGGGCCCCGGCAGCTCGGCGTGCGAGCGGGGCAGAGGTGCGGCCCCGGGCCCCCCGGGCACCGGGCCTCCCCGGCGGAGCAGAGGCACGGCTCGGCGTGCGTGCCTCCCCAAGCAGAGCAGAGGCACGGCTCGCCCGGAGCGGCGCGCGAGCGGACGGCCAGCACGCCAGGACACATCCGAGCTCCGTCTCCTCCTCCTCCTCCTCCTGCTGCTCCTCCCTCCTCCTCCTCCTGCACCCTCCTCCTCCTCCTCCTTCTCCTCCTCCTCTTTCCGCCCGCAAGATCCGCCCTCGAGGTGTGTTTCCAGCCCGCCCTCGAAGAAGCCAGGAACAGATCCCCGTGCCGCGGAATCTCGGCATTCTGGCCGTGCTGGCTCTTGTTCACTGGAGCGACGACGCCTCTTAACAGGGCTCCACGACGGCTCCTAAAGTCCTGCGGACGGTCCCAAGACTCTCCAAGATAGCCCCATGACCCCCACGGTCCCAAAGACTCCATACATTCCCCGATACGTAGGCCGCAAGAACCCCCCAACAGGCAATGCAAACACTACGCCACACGACACTTCTACAACACTTCATCTAGATAATCCTTAATCGTAATCCTTACATTTCTAACTCACGAGAGAGCTAGAGGTATACCAACACTACTTTAAGACAAACTTTCGGAAATCCGCGCGGATTTCTGAACGTTTATGCTTATGGACCTTCTGTTTATTCGAAGAGCCGTCCACCTCGGCAGTGCTTCAGCATGGACATGTGAACGAGCATCGTGCCCGAAATGTCCGCGCGGATCTCCGAACGTCTGTGCTTATGGTTCCTTGTTTTTCGAAGACTGTCCACCTCCGTAGGACTTCATCATGGGCAGTACGAGCATCGTGCCCAGACTGTCCGCGCGGATTGCCGAACGTTTGTGCTCATGTTTCTTGCTGTTTTTCGCAGAGCGTCCACCTCCACTGTGCTTCAGCATGGATATGTGTACGAGCATCGTGCCTTCAGTTGCAACTCATGGGAGCCTCTCACACCATCTTGTTGGCTCTTGCGAATCGGCGCTGATCGACGCCAGTCGACGCTAAACGACGCCAGATCGGCGTTAACCGACGCTGGTCGACGCCAGATCGTCGCGATCCCATCGATTCTCCGACGCTAGCCGACGTTCACCGACGCCAGAAACTAAAGTAAGCGGGTACACGAGGCTCCCATGATTTGCTACCTAGTCGTGCCCGAAGCGTTCAAGTCTCAGCGCAACAACCCCGCAAAAAGTACAATCGCGCCACGCTGCAGCGCCGCCGGGCAGCTGCCCGGGGTGCAGCGGCGGACACGCGCGACAACGCGACTTTTTTGTTTTTTTTTGTTTTTAGTTTTTTTCTCCACCAATCGAATATCCAAGGGGAGCAGCAATGGGAAAGAGGCAACTCGCGACTCCCAAAGGGGGCCATCCCAACACCGGACAGAACACCATCCCTCTACCACGAAAGGTGCGGTTTCGATCATCTCTGCGGGCGAGCTGCTGGAATCGAGCCTCGGCATTCTTTGTGCAAGCGCACATGGGTGATGTAAGTGTGCTTGAAATCATGGCCGACTTTGCTGTACATGTCAAGGGCCGAAACAACGAAGATAAGAGTCTCAGGAGCCACGAGGAAGTGACGCCACACAAACGAGTGATCTTGCCATTCGCCGTGCTGTAGAACATCGGAAGGAGGGGGAAAAGGGGAACAAGGGGGGATGCGCGACAACGCGACTGATACACTTTTTGCGTCGGCGGCTAGACAGGAGAGACTGCGCTGGCGAGTAAAGCAAAACGGGATGCGTTAGGCGAACTCAGCCAATGCAGAGGGAGGGAGGAGAACGACGAGGCGCCGGCCCAGGAGGGAGACTAGTGTGGCAGGGTCGGCGCCAGGGAGCCAGCGGCGGCGTCGGCGGCCGAGGAGGCTGGCGGACGCGACTGGACACGCACAGAGGCGTGGCCTGGGAAACCGATGGTCCAGTCCAGCCAGATTTCCTGGATCTGCGCCGCTTCTTCTTCTTCTTCTTCGGGCATCGACCAGGCGAGCAGACTCCAGCGTCGGCAGCCGATGGGCAGGCCCAGGGCAGCGTACCCCTGGCTGGTCAGAGCTTCGCGCTGCGCGCAGACCCCCCCCCCCTCCGAGCAGTCCTGGCTGGCCGAGGGCGCCGCACCCCCGGGCCGACCTCGGGGGGCCTGCTGAGGCCAGCGGGGATTGCTCGGGGGTGGGCTGTCCGCGCGTCACTCCTCCTCTTCCTCCTCCTCCTCCTCCTCCTCCTCCTCCTGATCCTCCTCCTCCTCCTCCTCTTCATCCTCCTCCTCTTCCTCCTGGTCCTCCTCCTCCTCCTCCTCCTCCTTGTATAGGCCTCGAGGCTCAGGGCCCCCGGGGCCTTTCTCCCTCCTCGCGGGCCTACCCCACGCGGAGCGCGGCCGAGCGACCGCGCCTCCGCGGGGTCTCCTCGAGCTCACGACTGAGCGTCGTGAAGCATCACGACCAGGGCGCTGCAGCCCTTCTTCCTGAAGCACGTTTCGAGCCGCATCGACCGGTGATAGTCCGGGGGCCCCATGCCCGAAAACGTGCCTGGTGTGACGCCAGGGTGTCTGGTGTGACGCCAGGGTCTCCGGATTGCGCAACCCGAAGCCTTACCAAGTCCAGGTGAACGGCTGCGCAGCGATCCCAACATTTTGGAGTGCCCCTCTGAGCTCTGGGCCTCCTCCAGTCGCAGCAGGCCGAGCATTGCCTCCCTCAGGTCGTCGGACATGGGGTTTGCCAAGCACGGGCGGTTGGGGCGCATCTTTATGTTCGTCCCCGTGCAGTCGATGATGTCCCAGCGGTGCTGGTACATCTGATGGAGCACGACCTGAGCATCACACTGACGCTAATCATCCGCCCTGCGATGCACCGTTCAACGGCAAATCGACCATGGCAAATTGCTGACTTGACGATTTGGGCAGAAGACAAACCAAGTCATAAGCAAGCAGACACTTCCGGAGGTCCGCGCGGATCTCTTGGATCGGCGCTGGGCCGCCCTTCCTGGCGCGCGGAGCGCGTCAGGGGCGGCGCCAAAGACGCCGCCAGGGGAGTCCAGCGCAGATCCAGGAAACCCGCGCGGAACTCCGAAAACTTCTCGTGACGCAGATCCCGGGATCCACCACAAAGGGGGGGTGGCCCTGAGGGGGGGCGCGAGTTCGATCCGCTGGTGCACCGAACTGCCACGAACAGATGCCCCGCGCATGCCCCCCCACCCGTCGGCAGCTATCGGGAGCTGCCGGCGGCTGGGGGGCACCTGTCTTGGGCCGCGCGGTGCAACAACTGATCGAACTCACATCCCCCCCCCGTGGCACACCCCCCTTTTGCGGGATCTCGAATCATGGCTCGAGGCATGGGCGCGGGCGAAGCGGGGGAGGGAGAGGCAGGGCGCACTGAACAAAGACGAGGGGGCCATGCTTCGGGTCGGACGAGAAAGTGGTGATCAAAAGGGGGGGGCTAGCGAATCAACGCACGCAACTGATTCTCCTGGCGCCTCCCGGCGCTGGAGGCGCCTGGTGGTAAGGCCGAAATCAGCTGCACGCAGCAGATCTCGTACAATAGGGGCTCGACCACAAGAAACCTCCCACAAAAAACTCAACCCTGAGACCCCAGGACGTCCATTGACTTTTGGTGTGGGAACGTCACGCATTCCATAGCAAAACCATCGGAACCCAAGAGACCCAGGGCACCCTGGAGGCAAGCAGGGTCTTTCTTGGCATGGGCCTCCACTGTAATCCCCTCTTTCCCAATCCCCGAACGGTACCCGAAAGGTACCAACCCAACCGAACGCCGCTTGGATCGCCGCGCGGATCGCGCACCACGCCGAAACGGATCCGCAAGCTGTTGCAGGCTCGTGCCGCCGAGGAGGATCCAGACCTTCTCCTCCTCCTCCTCTTCCTCCTCCTCTTACCCCTCCTCCTCCTCCTCCTCCTCCTCCTCCACATCCCCCTCCTCCTCCTCCCCTCCCCCTTCTCGGCCAACCCGAGCGGTACCCACACCCGCCTGGTCCTTACCCCTCTCTGTCGAGAGAGCGGGAGCGCACCCCACCCTCGCAACGAGCACCCCGACAAGCGAGGCCGCGGAGTATAAACGTAGCCAGGGGAGGACTCGTACAGGACAGGAGGAGGAGGAGGAGGAGGAGGAGGAGGAGGAGGAGGAGGAGGAGGAGGAGGAGGAGGAGGAGGAGGAGGAGGGAGGGGGAGGGGGAGGAGGAGGAGGAGGAGGAAGAGGAGGAGGAGGAAGAGGAATAATAATAATACTAAGAAGAATAATAAGAATAATAATAATAATAATAAGAAGAAGAATAAGAAGAAGAAGAATAATAATAAGAATAAGAAGAAGAAGAAGAGGAAGAGGAGGGGCTGTGCAGTGGACGCCCCGGGCCGTCCAGCAAATGGCAGTGATCGGGGTCGGGGTGTTTTTTCCTCCCTTGACTTCGGTCGGGCGTCTCCCCCTACAGGCGGATTCTGGAGGAACAACCAACAACAGCCCAAACATGCTCCCAAACTATCAATAATACGGAAAAATCGTCTCCGGACTACTTTCGGAATATTTTTGCAAATTCCTCCTGTACAGGGCCATGCCCGACTTAACCCTTGACTCTTCGACGCCCACGATCGTGGGCTGCTTTCCGTGGGGCCCCCGCAGGCCAGAGACGCACCACCGTGGGGCAGGGCACCTCTTGAGCGGCCGCGCCGGCGCCGCGGCCGCGACGAGGAGAGGCCGAGCTGCCCGCGGCCGTGCAGTGCGCGTCTTGGTGGGGCAAGGCAGGGGGAGGGAGGGGGGGAGGAAGAGGAGAGGGAGGGAGGGAGGGAGGGGGGGGAGGGGAGGGAGGGAGGGAGGGAGGGAGGGAGGGAGGGAGGGAGGGGAGGGAGGGGAGGGAGGGGGGGAGGGCCAGCTAGGTGCGCTGGCGTCATATCGGACGTTCTACCCCTCCCTCCCATCACTCACCATGGCGTAGATCTCCTCTCTGTTCGCACTGTCGGATGTCGTAGCGGGGCATCGCATTATATGGCATAGCATGGTGTTGAAGATCAACGCGTAGCTTGATATAGCATGGCGTGGCGACGCCCCAAAGTGGGGGGTTCTGCGGCCCGAGAAATCAGCGAATCGACACCGAATGTAATCACTTCCGATGGTTGTTTCGGGGGGCCATTTTCGATGTTTTGGAGCCTATTTTTTAGGACCGAAAACCATGCCGTGGCATGGCGCTGGAAGTAATGACGCCAGCGCTGCAGCGGGAGCACGATTCGGAACAAGCGGAAGCGCGGAAATGAGACCAACGCTGCAGCGGGAATGCGATTCGGAACGAGCGGTAGCCCGAAAATCAGGCCGGCGCATCGAGCAGAACAGCATTTTGAAAAACCAAGCGAAAACCCGTTTCCCGGGAATCCTGTGCGTAAAAATGAATACGCGGAGGGGGGCCGGCCATTTCCCGGACGCCACCTGAGGAGAGAGGGGAGTAGTATTCATATTGTATGATTGTAAAGAAGAGGGAGGAAGGAGGGAGCGAGGGAGGGGGGGAGGGAGGCAGGGGAGGGAGGGAGGGAGGGGGGGAGGGAAGGAGGGGGAGGGGGGGGGGTCGCCACCAGGGGGGGCGTCGCCGCTTCGTCGAGGAGAGGCGCCGCTTCTGCCTCGAGGAGGTGGGCCCCCCAAGAGAGCACTGTGGAGCCGTCCGCAACGGCACCAGGCGTCCAAAACCTTCTCGAGCTTCGAACCTGGAACCTCGAGGAGGAGGAGGAGGAGGAGGAGGAGGAGGAGGAGGAGGAAGAGGAGGAGGAGGAGGAGGAGGAGGAGGAGGAGGAGGAGGAGGAGGAGAAGGAGATGGTGACCCCCTGGTGGTGGCCTCCCCCCTGGCGCTGCCCGACCTGGGGTGGGGGCTCGCGGGAGCGCCGAGCAACGTGCAACGACACCTCGATCGGCCGTTCCGCAGAGGCTGGCTGCCCCGTCGAGGGGCGCGGGCGTGTTCGCGGACGGCTCGACTCGCCCAAATCATTGGCTTTCCGTAGATTGTTGAAGGATTTTGGCGTTTTCGCCTGTTCGGGCTCCTGGCGTTGCAAGACGGCCCAGGAAGGTCACCCACGATCGCCCCAAGATGCCCCCAAGACGGTCCAAGAGGGTCTCAAGACGGCCCAAGAGGCCCCCCAAGATGGTCCCAAGGGGGGCAACTCGAATTTGCATGTCGATCCCACCGCCCCAAGATGAACCCTGGGCCCGCCACAAGGCTCCTAAGAGGCCCCGAAGAAGCCCCAGGAGGCCTCCGAAGAGGCCCCAAGACATGTCAAAACACCGCCTCCGAGGGGCTTCCGGAAGGCCTCCCAAAAGAGATCCCTGCACGCCTCCGAGATGCCTCCGACCCACAACACGGGCGCGGTGGCGGCAGGGGCCGAAGGCCGCTAGATCCGCCGCCCCCTGCTTGCAGGGGTGCCTGGCGTGTTAGATTTTATCGGTTTTGGTTTTGGTTCTTTTTCTAAAAGAACTCCCCAGTGGGCTTCGGCCCGTCCCGCCGGCCACCCGGAAAGGATGCCCAGGAGCTCAATTCCCCAATTTCCTGCCCCAGACGGTTCCAAGATGGCCTCCAAGATGCCTCTAAGACGGCCAGGATGGTCTCTAAGACGGCTAAGATGGCCTTATGATGCCTCCAAGACGGTCCAAGACGGCCTCCAAAACGGCCCAAGAGAGTCCAAGACGGCCCAAGACGGCCCAAGAGGCCCCCCAGAGGCCTCCCAGACGGCCCAAGAGGCCTCCAAGAGGTCCTCCAGGAGAGTCCGAAGAGGCCAAAATCATTGATTTTCCTTGGTTTTTGAAGGATTTTGGCATTTGCGCCTTTTCGGCTCTCCGACGGCTCAAGACGGCCCAAGAAGCCCCCAAGATCGCCCAAGAGGCCCCCAAGAGAGCCCCATGATGGCCCAAGTGGCCTCCAAGATGGCCCCTAGAGGGCCCCAAGAGGGCCCAAGAGGCCTCCAACACGCCCAAGATGGCCTCCCAGACGCCCAAGATGGCCTCCAAGACGGCCCTGGAGCATTCCAAGCGGGCCCCAAGTCGGCCCATAGAGGCCCCCCAAACGGCTTCCGACGGCTTCAGACGTGCCAGGAACCCACCAAGATGGCCGAAGTTGGCTCGAAGCTGGCCCGAGACGGCCCAAAAAGCCCCAAAGATCGCCCAAAGCTTGCCCAAGAGGCCTCCAAGACGGCCAAGATGACCTTCAAGATGCCCACGTGTTCCCCGAAGGCTTTCCAAACCGATTCGGGGAACACGTGGTCCGATAGCTTGGCAGGTCTGGCCTCAACGTTCGGCCACATAGGCGCTTCCAAAAAGGCAGGGGGCGGCGGTGATTCGCCGTAGGCGTCTTCGATCCGCCGCCCCCCGTGGCTTGCCACGGGGGTGCACGACGTGCCGAATGCCAGGCCGATTTTTGGTTCTCGGCTCTTCTCCGAAGAACTCCCCTTGGCAGCTCGGTCGTTTTTCCCGGCCGCCCAGAGCGCCCGGGAAACTTCGGTCGCCGTTGGCCCCCGATCGCCCCCAGGACGGCCGAGGGTGGCTTCCACGATGCCTCCAAGACGGGCAGGATGGCCCCGAGAGAGCCCAAGATAGCCCCAAGGTGGCTTCCAAGACGGTCCCACGATGTCTCCAAGACCGTCAAGATGAGAGAGCCAAAGCGGGTCTAAGAAGCGCCCAAGAGGCCACAGAGATGGCCCAAGGGGCCTCCCAGAGGTCCTCCAGGAAGGCCGGAAGAGGCCCAATCATTGATTTGCCTTGGGTTTTTGAAATATTCTTCGCATTTGCTTCAAAGCGGCGTTCCGACGGCCCAAGATTGCCCAAGAGGCCTCCAAGATTGCCCCAAGATCGCCCAATAGGCCTCCAAGATGGCCCCAGGACTGCCCAAGAGGCTCCAAAGACGGCCCCAAAAGGGCCCCAAGACGGTCCAAGAGGAGGCCTCTAAGACGCCCAAAATGGCCTTCAAGGCGACCCTGAAGCGCCCCAAGAGGGCCCCAAGACGGCCCAGAGAGGTCCCCAAGACGGCTTCCGACGGCGTCAGACGGGCCAGGAACGCCGTAAGACGGCCAAAGAGGCCCCCAAGAAACCCTCAAATTGTTCAAGAGGCCCAAGGAGGTCCCCGATTGGCATCCAAGTGCCCCCCAGGAAGCTCCCAGGAGGCATCAAGAATGACCCAATAAGCTCCCAGGAGGTCTCCTCATCCTTCTCCTCATCCTCCTCTTTCCTCTCTCTCCTTATCCTCCTCTTCCTCCCCCCCCACGTGTTCCCCGAAGGGCTTTCGTAACGGCTGGGGGAACGCATGATCCAATAGCGTGGCCAAACCTTGCCCAAACGTTTGGCCACATAGGCGTATCCTACAATGCAGGGGGCGGCGGTGACTCGCCGTAGTCGTCTTCGATGTTCCATTTTCGAGAACACGACCCTCTCCCCCCGTGCCGAGGCCGGACTGAAGAACGGTTCATCTCCACGCACGTTTTTCCACATCTCTTCAGCACGGCCGTCCATCCTAATTCTGAACTCGTATGGTCCCAGCCAATACCCTTACGTCAGGTTCGTGTCGTGCCGACCTCGGCGCTGGTTTCTGACACCGCGCGGATCGTTCGACCTTGAACGATCGGCGGCTTTTCGACCGCCCGATCGTTCCATATAGGCCGATTCCGGGCCACTGGCGGCGTTCAACCTTGGAAGTCCGCGGCGGGGTCGCCGCCGGTCGACACGACGCGAACCGTATTCTCCCTCCTCGCCCCTGCCAGAGAATACTCCGCGGAACGCTCGGTTTGTGTCACAGCGTGCGTGCTCATAAGCAGTCCGTGTCACATGACGCCATGAGGGGCCGCACGCGCGCGCGCGCACGTCAAAACCATTGGAATCGTTCTTGGTTTCCAAATGATTGTGAACGTTTTTAAATTCGGCGTCTCGACATTGGGCGGAAAGGGGCGGAGGGAGGGGTCTGGCGCCGGACCTCTGCTTCGTCCGGCTGTTTGCGACATTGCGCCCACCATGGGGGAGAGTCCACCCGCTCGAAACAGGCGCCAAAAAACAGCCAAGATCTACTCCATGGGGGGGGGGGGCGGGGTTGGGGTCCGTGCAGATCGGCTAAAATAATAAAAACAACGATCACATTTCAAACACGTAAATTCCAAATCCTATTTGTCTGAAATGAACAGGCTGGATCTTGATGCGAGCACTTGCTGACAAGACAACCATGAATTACTAGTCTGCCGAATGAGGCCATACGGGCCAGGAGCGCGGGCATGCCGACATCATTCACACTCATCGGTATCAGCGCCAGCGTACTGCGCTGCGCGCGCGTACTTCCTCAGTATCCTCATCATCCTCATCAATCCTATTGTCATCATCATCGCCAGCGTCACTGTCACCACCATCTAAATCACCATCATAATCGTCGTCCTCATCATCGCCATCATCACCTTCGTCGTCATCGCCGATGTCATCGCCACCATCATCATTCGGCCGCCAGGGTTATGGATGTGCATGATGAAAAAAAGGTTCTCGCGTCATTGCGCCATGGGAATTTAGCCAACACGTTGCGGGTCAGAAGATGCTGTGCTTGCTCGATCGTTGGAGCTGGCGACTTCAATCCCTTCCACAATTCATTCTCTTTAAACATATAACTTCTACCCCTTTCCTCCCCAGAGCTCACAGTACCCCCCCTTCGCGTATTGCATTCTCATATTTCGTTCTGCACAATTGTCCATCGTAAATATGATTTCGTATTATCTCAGCTAGGCCGGTATCGCCCCCCCTCCCATCCTGTGCGACAAATACTATGCGCGCGCATTCGTTTATCGAACATCTCAAGTGTCCAAAAATCTTTTGCACAACACGGGACGAAGTGGGCGCGCGCATCGTCGCGCGCGCATGCAGAAATCTCTCACACACCTTAGGCTTCGCACGGATTTCAAACCCGAGTGCCCCGAAAACATATAGAAACACAGTGTTTCGCAACAGGGACTTCCGAGCAAAACCTGCGCCCGCGTTCTTGCGAATTCTTGGAAAACCATGCGGTTTTCAACACGTTCGTAACATGCTACCGAACGTGCCTTTCGCGCGCGTTTGTCGTAACCATTCGAAGGCCGTTGCGCGCGTGCTGTCGCAAAAACTGGTTGCAACTAACAGACGGGACGAAATGCACACGCGCGCGTCGTCGAACGTGCATGCCGGAATCCTTGCACCTTAAGTTTCGTAGGGATTCCAAAATCGTCCCGAATGCAAACAAAGCGCACATGATTTCGCAATCTCACATGTCTCCCAACAGGAATTCCTGCGCTCGTGCCCTGCACATTCGTAAGGAAACTGTCCTTTTTCAACATGTGCATCCAATTCGGCACAACGGGCCTCGCGCGCCGCATGCCGGTCAAATAATATCATGCGGGCCATTTTCGCGCGTCGGCCTCGTGTGCATGTCAACTTCCCTCCACAAACTTCATCACCGACGCGGGGATGCCGTCATCGTCGTCGGCGTGATCAACATCGGCGCCATCACTGGCCTTGTCGTCGTCGTCGTCATCATAGCCACCAGCATCGCTACCATCATCATTGTGTCTACCATTTTCGGCGTTGCCATGATATCGCGCCCGCCGAAGTAGCTGACTCGCAGAAAAGTGCCCGTTGGGAAGTGCCCAGCTGTCCGCGCCACCGCGGCCGCGTCGGTCGCGCCAAGCTAGCTGGCCGTTGCGCGCGCGAGCATGCGCGGGCTAGCGCGGCCGCAAAGATGCACCAGCGAACACCAAACATTCATCGCAATCGCCGCCACGTGGGTTTTGCAAACCAAGATGCGGGTGGGTGGATGGGATGGTTGCGCGAGCAGTGGAGTTCATGACTCACTGCGAACAGGAATTATCGGCACCCCATAAAGAGTTCAGAGCGTCGTTTGTATAACATCGCCTGCGCCACATAGGTTGTGTGTCATACGTTGCACTGCAGATCTTGCAACACGCAACTGCGCTGCGCCATATAGGCTGCGTCGCATACATATACCTAAACGCAAAGATACACATTTGCAGACTCATGTTTGTATTTCTACTTGCGTTTTTGTGTGTGTGTGTATATATCTACACGTGAACATATGGGTATTGCACCACGCGCGTGTGTTCATATACGCATACATGTCTATTGCAACACCTGGGCTGCACGGCACACAGCCTGCACCACACATCTCGCACATCGAGAGTGCAAGAGCCAACCGTTGGCGGTCGACGCTGGCAGACGTTCTCCCAGCATGAATGTCTGACGACGAGCGGGGGCCGCCCCGAGCAGGCTGAGCTCGTCGAGTGCGACCCCCACCACCCAGAACTCGACCCAACAGCCCACTAGCCTTCCTCCTCCTCGTCCACGTCCTCGTCCTCGTTCTCTTGCTCCTACTCCTCCTCGTCGTCGCCCATCGTCGTCGTCGTCTGTGTCGATCGTCCGTCGTCGTTGTGCCGCCCTGCCGCCGTCGCCGTGCCGCTCTGCCATCAACGTCGTCCACGTCCTCGTTCTCGTCCTCGTCGTCGTCGTCCGTCGTCGCCGTCCGTTGTCGCCGTCCGTCGTCGTCGTCGTCGTCGTCGTCGTCGTCGTCCGTCGTCCGTTGTTCGTCGTCCGCCGTCGTCGTCGTCGGTCGGTCGTCGTCGTCCTCCGTCGTCGGTCGTCCGTCGTCGTCGCCACCTGGCCGAGCTTGGGGGCTCCGCGCGTCGGCGTGCGCGCGCGGCGACAGGCTTGGCATTGTGGTCGTCGTCGTCCTCGTCCTCGTCCTCGCCCTCGTCGTCGTCGTCGTCGTCGTCGTCGTCGTCGTCGTCGTCGTCCTCCGTCGTCGTCGCCGTCGTTCTCATCGTCGTCGTCGCCGTCGTCGATATCGTCGCCGTGCTCGCCTTTTTTTTTTTTTTTGGTAATCGTCGTGCTCGCCGTCGCCGCGCCCTGGCGTGCGGGCCGACGCCGCCGACGGCCCCGCCGCTGGGCCGCCGCTGGCCAGGCCGGGCTCGCTCGGGGAGCATAAAACGATATAAAGATAAACTTTCACCAGGCAAGCGCGTTCAACTCCTCGCGAAGTAGCTGCTCGCAAATGGCCTGGATCCGCCGCAGGGGGTTTACGGTATATTACACAAAGGCAGACGTATGGTTTTCAGGAGGTTTGCGAACAGGCACTTTGCGAGTGGTGGAACGCGCTTGGCGATTCACAGGTCCTCGCAGATTTCTCCGATCGGGGCTGGGTCTCCGTTGGCGCGCTCTGCGCGCCAGGGAGGGGTGGCCAGCACCTTCCCGAGAAATCCGCGCGGACCTACGAAAGTTCAAGTGTATGTCATTGTTTGCTCCCCGTCTCTCCGAATTGAGCAAGGACAGATCGTCCCGGCATTCCAATAGGCCTACCACGACATGTTCTTAGAACCCAAGAATGTTTTGAAAAATCAATATCCTGAATACATAAATCCTTCGTTAAAGCAAGACGGCTCAAACCAGAAATGTTCTAAGAACATCTCGTGCAGACCACAGAAGGTTCTTAGGACATTCTTTGGTGGGCCTATAGGCGAGCCAAGACGCTTCGCCACTGCTTGACCGAGGGGGTGGCCCCCAGCCCCCAGGAGTCCACCCAGTGGAGTTGGGGGAGGTTGCCGGCGCAGAGCTCCGGGGCCATGTAGGTCTTGGGGGCCCAGACCTCGGCCCGCGGGGGTCAGAGAATATAGCTCCTCCTCCTCCTCTTCCTCCTTCCCCTCCTCCTCCTCCTCCTTCCCTTTCTCCTCCTCCTCCTCGTCCCCCTCCCCTCCAAGGATCGAGGTTCCCAACCCCCCTCGAATCAAACACCGCTTGCACTTAGGGGTTCTTGCTTCTGGTCTGAGGAACTGGGTCTATCTGCCGGTCTGGCGGCCTTGTTGTCGCCGTAGCCGCCCCGCCGCCGCCTCGTCGCCGCCCGTCGTCTGGGCTTGTCAGTCGGTCTGGCGGCTATGTTGTCGCCGTCACCACCCCGTTGCCGCCGTCGATTTGCACAACATGGATTGCACAACGTTGTTTGTACAACGCGTAAAGCACCGCATAGATTGCACCACATTGATTGCACCACCCATATTATCCTTTCTCAGGGCGTGTCAGGACCTATCCCCCCAGGGTTAAATGGTACACCGTTGCGTATTGCAATTCACATATGATTCTGCCCCGTCGTCCATCTTGAATTTGAATTCGTACCATCCTGGGCAGGCCAGAGTTCGCCCCCCCCCCCCCTCATCTTTTGCAAGAAAGAAATACTATCCGCGCGCACTCGTTTATCGCAAATCAATAGTTTCCGAAGATCTTTGCCATAAATGAAACGAATTCCGAATGCGCGCGTCGTCGCGCGCGCATGCCGAAATTCTTAAAACACCTAGAAGGTTTTGTAAGGATTTCAAAACCGAGTTTCAGGATCACAGAAACAAACACGTGGCTTCAAAACAAGTTTGCGCTCGTGCTCTCGCGGGTTCTTAGGATTACCAGCGGCTGTTCAACATTTTCATAACCTGCTTCCACATTCGGCTCTCGCGCGCGCGTGTCGAAATCGCTCGAACGCCCTTGCGCGCGTGCTGTCGCAAGGATCCCTGGAGAGAAAAAAAACACGGAGTGTACACGCGCGCGTCGTCGCGGGCATGCCGAAATCCTTCAAACACTTAAAGTTCCGTGGGGATGTTTTAATCGAGTGTTACGCGAATGTGTAAAACACACATGGCTTTGCGACGACAGCTATCCAAGCAACAAATCCGGCGCTCGCGCTCTTGCGGATTCTTGAGAAAACCATGCGCTTTCAAGGTTTGAAAGAGCGTGTTCTGCCGCTGCTGGCGGAAAACCGGGGGGGGTCACTACCGGTTCGAACCCCTCCCCCCCCCCTTCCGGAAAACCGGGAGGGGTCACTACCGGCTCGAACCCCTCCCCCCCCCCAGTTCATCATGAAAAGAGGGGGGGGGTCACTACCGGTTCGAACCCCCCACCCCCCCCTCGAAAACCGGGGGGGGTCACTACCGGTTCGAACCCCCCCCCCTCGAAAACCGAGTGGGGGTGCGGACAGTGGTGGAAACGGTGTTGGTGGGGACAGTGGTGAGGGGACAGCGGGACAGTCGTGGGGACAGTGGGACAGTGGGACAGTGGTGGGGACGGTAGTGGTGGGGACAGTGGTGGGGACAATGGTGGGAACAGGGGGGGACAGTGGACAGTGGTGGGGACGGTGGTGGTGGGGACAGTGGTGTGGGGACAGTGGGAATGAGGTGGAAACAGTGGGACAGTGGAGGGTACAATGGTGGTGGGGACAGTGGTGAAGGCGGTGGCGAGGACGGCGGTGGGACAATGGGACAGAGGTACAGTGGGGACAGTGGTGGGGACAGTGGGGACAGTGGTGGGAACAGTGGGACAGCTCAGTGGGACAGCGGAGGGGTCAGTGGGACAGTGGGGACAGTGGGGATAGTCGGGCAGTGGTTGGGGCCGTGGAGACAGTGGGGAGAGTGGAACCGTGGTGGGAACAGTGGTGGGGACAGTGGGGACAGTGCGACAGTGGTGGGGGCACTGGTGGGGACAGTAGGGACGGTGGTGGAACCAGTGGGGACAGTGGTGGTGAGGACAGTGGTGCTGGGAACAACAGTGGGGGATGTGATGCGGACGGTGGTAGGGACCGGGAGTCGTTTGCTGGCGGTGCGTGGGGGGGGGGGGTCGAACCGGTAGTGACCCCCCCCGGTTTTTGGGGGGTTCGGTGACCCCCGGGGGGGGGGGGGGGGGGGGGTTCGAACCCGTAGTGACCCCCCCGGTTTTCGAGGGGAGGGGGGGGGGGGGGAGGGGTCAGGGGAGGGGGGGTTTTTGCCGGGGGAGGGGGGGGGTGGGGGAGGGGTTAGGGGAGGGGGGGGGATTTTCGGAGGGGGGGGGGGCGACCCCCGGGCTCCGGAGGAAAAGGTTGGCAATTTTCCACACTAAAGCGGCGGTGGATCACGCTATCTCCAAGGTTTTCATAACATTCTACCGAACGGGCCTCTCGCGCCGCATGTCGAACTCATTCGAACGCCCTTGCGCACGTGCTGTGTCGGGGCGGGGGGGGGCGCGATCCGTATCAAATAATTCCACGCGGGCCACTCGCGCGCGTCGGCCGCGCGCGCATGTCGAATTCCTTCAACAAACTTCACCACCGACGCGACGACATCGTCATCGTTATCGGCGGGCGTGATCAACATCGGCGCCGTCATTGGCCGTGCCGTCGTCACCGCCACCGTCGTCACCATCATCGCTGCTCCCATAATCGTGTCTACCGTTGTCGGCGTCGCCATGATACCGCGCCCGGCCAAGTCACCGACTCGTACTGAAGTGCCCGCTGGAAAATGCCCAGCGGTCAGCGCCACCACGGCCGCGTCGGTCGCGCCAAACTAGCTGGCCGCTGTGTGCGCGAGCATGCGCGGGCTAGCGCGGCCGCAGAGATGCACCAACCAACGCCAAGCACTCATCGCAATCGCCGCCGCATGGGTTTTGCAAATCAAGTTGCAGGTGGGTGGGTGGGATGTTTGCAAGAACATAGACTTTGCCAACTCTTTTGTGATACTCAACTACACCACGTATATTACTCTACATATAATGCACAACATGTATTGTACCGTACCTGAAAGATAGGTCAACATAGGTGGTACCACATACATTGCACAACATACATTGCACCACATGTATTGCTTTACACGTGTTGCACAACATAAGATGCTAGGCGCACGCTGATTGGGGCCCACGTTTGCTAACATACTAAGAACACATGCTAACCATAACGCGAATGCGAATATGAATGAAACGACGGACAGAAATTCTAAAACTGATGCGATCAATAAGGAGAAGCGGGTCCTGTTTCACGGCGATGATATCGGACCATCGGCAATGCAAGTTAACACCCGGGCACGATCCATTCAACGTCAATGTATCTGTACGTGTACATATACATACATAGCATCGGCAATGAACCAAAGAAAAAACGGGCCTTGCGCGAGAAGACACGGCTAACTTCTGCCGCGGCTTACGCGGGCCGCCAGCGTGGCACACCGCGCGGATGGGCAACCATCTGCTTCGGTGTATACTCATGGGAACCTCTCGTGCCATGTTTCTGGCTCCTACGAATCGACGCTCACCGACTCTAATCGACGCTACATCGGCGCTACATCATCGATTGCAAAACGCTGGCGCACGCTAGTGCAATCTGAAAGCGGAATTCCGAGGACACACACAGCTCCCATGGTCTGCCATTGATGCGAACTCTACCCCTGCAAGTCATGCTTCTGAAGTGCCGGTTGGGGTTCAGGATTCTATGCCTGCAGCCAGGTGGATCCCAGCGGGGGTGTCTGACACCCCACTGTCGATTGGACCAGCAGGGGTAGGGTTCGCTTGTGGTCGCGGAGCTGGCCATCGCTCGGACGTCCATTCCCTGTGCTTTTTCGGGTTTCGTGCGTGGTTTTTTCGCCAAATGATCCCCGCCGAAGGAAACAATGCACACGTCCGAGCGACCTTGCGCAAGGACGCTCACGTGCGACCTTGCGCAAGGACGCTTGCGCACGAATGTCCGCGCAGTCGACCCCGCTTTCTCTTGTCGCTCATCCGATTGAGGGCGACACGACAGGCGAAGACGCGAGCGTTTTTTTTTCCACGGCGTCTCGACACTGGGCGGGAAGGGGGGAGGGGGGGGGGTCTGGCTCCAGACCTCTGCCCAGTGCGACTGTCTGCAGGAGTGCTGCCTCGGGGGGAGCCTCCACGCGCTCGAAAGAAGCGCCAAAACAGCCAAGCTCTACTCCATGGGGTGGGGGGATGGGGGGGGGGGCCCGCGCCGATCGGCGAAACAATGAATAAGAAAACGACGACCCTGGCTCAGGAGGGCAGACGTGGACATCGGCATCGGCGACACGTGGCCGACAGAGCCGGCGATGGGCCATCGCCAGCGGAGCCGCACGCCACTCGGCGAGGGGCCCTCTCAGCGGCCAGGCCTGGCGACGAATGGGGGACTTGGCTGCGAGCGAGGGGGGGAGAACGAGAAGGAGAAGGCCTTCTCAGAAGGCTGCGGGACTTCTCAGACGCCCTCGCGCCCTCTGAGAGGTTGTCGGCGTCTCCGGGGAAGGCTCAGATCACTTCTCTCAGAAAGCCCGGGGCCTTCCGAGCCTTCTGAGAGGGCCCGCCCCCTCTCACTTCCCCCCCTTGGGCGCGCCGCCAGATGACGGGGGGTCGGTGCGTCACCCCTTTGAGCCCCTCCCCCGAGGCGTTGCCCGCCAGACTTCGGGCCATAGCTCGGCTCTCCCGCGGCCGTCCAGGGCGACCCGGGCGCCCCCGGAGCGCCCTCGGCGAGGCGCGGCAGCGGGAACGCGTCCCGCAGTCGGAGGGCCGCCGAGGATCGACGGAGACGCCCGAAAACCACGAATCGCGAGCTCGAACCTCGAACCTCCCCCCCCCCTTTCTAAGGGGAAAACAAACCTACCTCGCTTTTGACCACCCTCGCTTCCAAGAGATACCAAACAATGCCAAATTGCAGCCTGTACTGGTCAGGCCGCTTGACGAAAGCGGGGTAGGTAATTCACGCTCTGACTTTCGGCGCCCCCGACTGACAGTGTATGAAGGGCAATGATCGGGGGGGACTGGCATATTAGGGGGGACAGCACATCGACCTGGAATCGGCAATACATCGCCGACGGATCGGCGACAGGCCCCCGACAGTGAATCAGCACGTTCCTGGGCAGGTTGGGGCTACCGGGCCCGTATCGGCGATCAATGGGCGATCTGGGGTCGATGCATCCCCCCTATGCCTATCCTCCCTTATCGTTGCCCCAAAAGACACGTCAGCCAGGATGAGGACCCAAACAATTTCCTGGTCTGCTCCTACAAGCGGTCGGGGTAACGGCGGGACGCATCCGAAGCTAATCTCTTGGCGAGAGTAAAAGAGGGGCAAGGAGGGAAGAAGAGTCTGCCGCGGAACGATGAAGACCCAGATATGCGATGCCCTATTTTTTTCGATAGGGGTCACCAGAAGTCCAGACCTGAGCGCTCAAGCCGCTGCTGCTGCACTGCGCTCAACGATCGGGAGACCTGGTAATGCTTCGGGCTGCGCACCGACAGCCCCACCTCTCCTGGGGCGCTGAATTCCAGGGTTTGGCTGTTGAGACCGCCCTGGACTACTCGGGGGGCCTGTGGAGGAGGAGGAGGAGCAGGAGGAGGAGGAGGAGAGAGGCCAACGGGGACCACCTGGGGGGCTGTGCGTGCGCAGCCCGAAGCCTCAGCAGGGAGACCCCTGTGGGCCTGCACCACAAGGTCACTCCAGCGAAGGGCCACAGCCGACACCTGTAGACCTCCGCGATCGCCCCGCCCCCCCGTGGGCGACGCCCGTCGATGGCCTCTCAGCCGAGAGGCCTCCGGGAGGGAAGCGCCGGCGCGCGCCACAGGAGCGGCCGGCCTGGCCTGCCAGAAGGGGCGGCTGCTGCGGCGGCCTGCTGCTGCGGCGGATGCGGCGGCTGTGGCGTCGGCTGCGGCTGTGGCGGCAGCTGTGGCGGCGGCTGTGGCGGCGGCTGTGGCGGCGGCTGTGGCGGCGGCTGCGGCGGCGGCTGCGTCTGCTGCGGCAGCGGCTGCGGCGGCGGCTGCGGCCGCGGCGGCTCCGGCGCAGAGGCCGCTGGGGCGAGGGCCCACCGCTGCTCCTTGCCGCCGAGGGTCATGGCCCCGGGGGAGGGGCGTAGCCTTCGAGCGGAGGGCGGTCGCCAGACCCGGACCTCCCTCGCGGTCGTGGCCGCTCCTGTTCCGATTCCATTCGGGGGTGGCCAGAGTCCCTTTTTCGCAAAACGCCCTTCGATGATCCTCAGAACGTGTGTTCGCGCCAACGTGCGTTCGTCCACTGGATCCCTCCAGTGCGGCGCAGTCGGTGTACTTAATTGAAGGCCAACACGGGCTGCGTGCTATCGACAGCGCTTAGCGGGGTAAAAGCACATTGTGCAAACACACGTCCTGTGGATCATCGAACCCCGCAATGAAAACGACCCAGGGCTAGACCCGGCTGGTAAGGCCCGCAAGCGTTGCGGCCGCAACAATCTCTCGGAACTGAGAAGAGGCAACTCGTTGATCGACTTGGCATGGTGGGGGTTCTATGTATCTCCGATCCCCAGACATGGGATGCTCGTTTGTTATAACTTTTGATTGCGCGGGGTATTCACACATCCCACCCCATTCCAGGGCTGGTTTTCATCCTGAACATGTTTTTGACGGGAGGCCGAACACATTTTTTTTACGACCCGATCACGTCTGGGTATCAAACTCCGATCCGTCCCCCCTTCGTGCCTCCCCCCCTTCCCTAACGCCCCTCCGCATCCGCCTCCTCCCCTCCTGCCCCCCCTCATCCCCGAAGCTCGAAGCTGCGGACTGTGCCACCGATGCGGTCGAAGCCCTCGTCCCCCTCCTCCCCCTCCTCCTCCTCCTCCTCCTCTCCTCCTCCTCCTCCCCCTCCTCCTCCTCCTCCTTCTCCTCCTCCTCTCCTCCTCCTCCTCCTCCTCCTCCGCCTCCTCCTCCTCCGCCTCCTCACCCCCGCGGGCCGCGCCCGCGCACAGGGCGGCGGCCCCCTCGCGCTCGATGGCCCTCCCTCCCCAAGGGATGGCGATGCCGAAGTCTATCAGCTTCGCGTCGTAGCTCCTCGTCACCAGGACGTTCTCGCTCTTGACGTCCCGGTGCACGACCTGGTGGGCGAGAGGAGGTGGGCGAGGAAGGAGGACTCCTCTCCCCCCTCCACGTCTTCGCCCTCGTCTAAAAAGGGGCCCAGGGAGGCAGGCGCAAATCCGCCGACCCTTTCGTCGGCATGCGTGAGACGAATTTCCGTTTGAGTCGTCGCCGTCGCCGTCGCCGCTCCCTCCCTTTCCTGGGGCCCTCCTCCTCAAGCGATCCAGCCAGACGGAAATCAAACACCGTCGTAACTGATTCGAAGGGGAGCCCCTCCCCATGGATCCCTTCCCTGGCGGGGGGGGGGGGTCGCCCGCATGTGGGCCCAATCCCAACCCACTGGGCCCAATCCCAACCGACTGGGACCAATCCCAACCAGTGCGAAAAACAAACTGGGCCCAATCCCAACCATCTTGGGATAGCCCCACGATAGGATTTAATTGTTGAGAAGCCCAAGACGACTGCGAAGACCAAGTGGCACCCCTTATGTCAACGCAGAGGATCTGGAAGCCAACATGCGTGCTCGAGTTGGAATT